CAAGGCCACCGTTCGGGACGAGAGGTCTGCTCAAGTGGAGAAGTTATTCGAGGCTTCAAAGGAGGTCCCTCGGGAAGGGAGTAATAAGAATCTACGAAGAAGCTCTTTGTCGTTCTGGACGGAACTTGGCATGTAATGGCATGAGCCATGAATATCTTTCGGGTTGGTTGCTAAGGTTGCGTTTAGTTGGTGGGATATATGTTTGCTGTCCTCCCTTGGATTCGGGGGTTTCCAATGTGATAGACGACTTGAAAATGTGAAAAAAACCAAGAGGAATCTCCCGAAGTTTCCTCATTCCCATCAACACGCGTAGTTGACCACCATGCGCGTATTTCCTCATCTATTGCGAACGGTTCGACTCGGGTTTGACATTTTACCATAATCGATCGACTGGCGGCTGTTGAGTCGACAGTCCTCATTGGCGGGTCACGTCCTTCTGCATATTTACTGATGTCAGCGATGGGACTCGGGCGTTGGGTTTAACGTGAGAACGGCATGGATCAACAGCGATGTGTTATTGTCAACTATTGCACAATAGCTGTTGAAACGATCATCAGTTCGATTTGGGGAGTTTCAAATCGACTAATATTGGGTTGCTTATTATCTGACCTTTTGTGTAAACATCAACTTCAAGAGTATCATCGACTGTTCTCTCCTACTCATGCAACACCCTTCTATACAAACACTCGTGTCGAAATGATTCAGTACCTCTCGAGCACAAGTGGATAAAATATATTCATACTCAGCATAGCCAACTGAAAATACCGAGATCAATCTATTCTCGAGCTATTTTCGGATGGAAGATCAATCCAAATACTTCGACTTCAGAGTAGATGCCAGTCAGTTCCTGTTACTGAATACGGGTCAACTCCCAGATTGTACACAACAATTCTATCATAGAACACGTAGGCTCATGCAACATGATGAAGATGGATGAGTATATGAAGGGCTAAAGATTAATCACTGATCCTCTTCATATTCTTCTGTCGGCTCATCATCTTCTCCCCTTCCAAGGCTCGGATCCGTTAGGGCATCCTCTTGTCTAAAACGAATACACCATAACATGTGAGGGAGGGTTCATCCCTCTTCTCGTCAATACTAGTCTAAGCGAAGCCTTCCTACACGTACTCACCCCGGCTGTTCCAAGCCTCGTGCAGCCATTTGGTTCATCGTAGCTATTAATGTTCCAAGGGTTCTCGGGATGGCTTCGGGCATCGGAACACTATCTTTAATGGAATCACATAGATACATGAACAACTCGAAGAACTCCCAGAATAACCTGTTGGGAGGTAGTAAAAGCAATGATGATGATGAGCATTATCTACAATCCGGAGTTATCAGTGTGATATGAGCGCTTGTGTAGGATAGTAGCCAAGACTTCATCATAAGCCTAATAGCTCAATGTTAACAACAACAACAATACCGATTTATCGTTTACTTGTATCATGGTGTCCACGTGTTGAGGCTCCAATCTGGCTCCACCAACCCTTTGGCTACCTTCTGACAACGGAACTTCTTCGTCTGACACAACAGAAGCAGTTTGTCAAATTGATGGAATAATCAGGTAGATGGACATTCTACTACTTCCCCCACCATAGTATCCTTCCTTGCTGAGGAAGGTCAGGACGGACCTATGAACAGATGTGAGGTGATGATGAATAATCCCATAAAAGTCGGCAACTCATAAAGAAATATTTTAGGAATATCAGGCGGCCAGTGAGAGATAGAGTAACAGTAGTGTGACTTGAGTGAATCCTGTGGCACGAGCATCTCGTCATCTTCACGTTGTTGTTGTAGTAGGGAATGTAGGGATCTCAGATGTGTTCGATACTGATCAAGAGGAACAATAACTTATACTAGCAATGAAAAGACCATAAACATACACTCTGGAGAAGTACTAGGTTGTCGCTTTCAACGGCCTTCCTTCTAATGTAATCCGAATCGTAACTAACAAAATTTCGATAACATTAGCATTGTCCTCATGAACCAGAATAGTTGAGCATCAGCATCAGCATGTGCATATTCCCCCCTACTCGTACTTGCTCATTAGTGGTAGTAGTACGTTCTTGACAAATCGAAACACTGCTTCATCTGGTAGCAGTCCGACTGAAAACGTCACTCGCCACGAAATTGAACAGAGTTGTTTCTCACTGTCACTGTTGTGGTTGTGGTTGCTTTCAAGAGCTACTCTCACCAAGAGATCGAGATATTGATGTCTGAGGATAAAGAGAGTGATGTGTAGGGAAGTAGAAGAGTATGAGCCATCTACAATTGGTATACGAACTTGTCCTCTCCTTGGGAGGTATACTCGATTTTCATCAACAACACTGTAATTGTGATGAGTCGATCGGGATCCTCCTACTATTTTGTGGTAGTAGTAAGTTATAATAAAAATACTATGGCTTAATTAGGTCGAGCTCATGTATTAATGATTGTATAGAATGTAATACCTGTGTAGTCGTTGTTGAAGGCAGGGCCTATTGGGTGAGAACAATCCTGGATTGATAACAGTGAGCCACTTCTTGATGATACACCATTTAATAACCTCATTCGGTGATATCCGACCACTTTGTATCTTACCATCATGTACTACTACACTCCTCCTACTCCTACCCTTCCTCATCCATCTTACCATAAGATGTTTGAAATCATCAACTCCCATAGTGTTACACACACTGCTATCACCACCTAAGGGATATTCCTACACTTCCGGCAAAACATTGTAATGGATAAGTTAGGTCGTTGGATGATGATGATGATAAGCCTGCTATCCAGGATACATGCAGTATCGTCGTCGTCAACTTATATGCACATTAAGATATATTGTTATGAATATTCAGCTCAGCAGCTAGGCCTACACTAGCTTTATTGATATGGATCCTTCCCCAGATGCCCACCAACGCTGTATACTAGGTACATATGTACTACACATACTCAAGTAGTATGTGTTAGTGCATGTAGAAGTTCTTATTTGGTAATCTGTTATTCAAAACAGATTGAAAACCAGTTTGTGTGTAATTGAATAAATCTCGATAGTATGCATCATATTGTCACACTCTCCTCCTCACTTGGTATTCCCAGGAAGGCATATGAGTCAAAGAGGTCAATAAGGACTTCATAGAACTCGATAAGGACATCCTAAGGGAATATGCAGGGATACCCGGGATCGAACTCGATACCACCTTCACGTTAACCTCATCTTCCTCGATTAACCAAGACAACTTCAACTTTCCCCAATCTTCTTTAAATCGAGGATCCTGCTCAGATAATGATGATGATGATGACCAGATACGGCGATAAGAGTGCCGTAAATTTTTCCAGTTGATGAATTATTGGAATTATGGTATATGCAAAGCGCGTGATGGATTGTCCTCACTGTGGGTCCTTCATCATCTGCACTGCTAACATCTGTACTTGTCTTATCAAACACACACTGAGGATCCTCTGTTATTGGTGCCTAAAAACAACAACAACAACAACAACAACAACAACAACAACGATGATGATTATGATAAGAATGTTTTCGGAGTGTGGTATTAATAATAATATTATTCAGATCATCGTATACACTTCGTGAATATTGTCGATTATTCTGCAGAGTGATGTGTAAAAAGAGAGTTGGCCTACAACTTGGTAGTACATCCCATTTGAAGTGAATAATATTCTGTATTTCCTCCTCTTTCTCGGTTCCAATCTTGGGAAGGGCTTCACATACAACCTCATCACTATTGGGAAGGACGAACTAAACACATGGTATTAATAATCACATTAGGAAATACCATCGGCGAGAGGAATTTGATATTTACTTTAAAGAGGGCCGTTCCAGGAGGACGAAGCAGCATAGCATTCTGAGCAGAAGATAAGGGTATGTAATGGGAGTAATTAATTATAATAATACTACTACCCAATGATAACCAGTGGCATCCCCTCTCTTGATGCCTTCTAGTGGTATATCATCAAATGGGCCGCCAAACTCGGCTTGAGGGAATAGTCCCACCCATTTATCATCTATTAGATA